GGAAGGCCAAATAAAGTGCTTTTGCTTTCGCCTAGAAACACACAGCGTCTCCCTGACATGGCTGCTTCAACACTAAGTGCGGTTACTGAAACCACGCCTTCTTTCTTTGCGTGAACATTTGGACGGCATTATGCTAATTTTTCCACATAGTGAGGTAGATATGTGGGGGCGTGTTAGAACAAGCCGTTTTAGGGGGGCGTGGCAGAGTCTTAACTTTGATAAAGAATATCTCTTTGGTTTTGAGACTTTAGTCTTTGCAACTTCAGGGGTCTTATCTATGCACAACCAGCTTGTAACACTCCAAAGAGAAAGGAAAACTTGAAATCGCATCATATGACCCCTTTAACTTTATCTGTGTGGAAATGTACTGGGATATATGTGTGTATATACAGTGTGTAGTTAAAAAATTTGGGGTCAATAAGAAATTAATACTTTTTTTTTTTATTCAGCAAGGATGTAGTAAATTGATCAAAAAGTGACGGCAAGACTTGCATAGATTTCTGTTTCAAATAAATGCTGTACTTTTGAACTTTCTATTCATAAAAATGTATTGCAGTTTCCATAAAATATTACACTACTTATAACACAACTGTTTTCAATATTGATAATAATAAGAAAAGTTTCTTTAGCACCAAATCAGCATATTAGAATGATTTCTGCAGGACCATGTGACCGAACATTTATGTTACTATTTCTCAAGCCCTGCTATTCAGAATCCTGGTCAAGAGATGTTGAAAGTCTTGGAGGACACCTCCTACAGTTTGGAGGATCTAAAAAATCAAGAGGCACATCTACCACCAGAGGACAGTATGTACCATTTTCTCTGAGATTTTCTCTGGTCTGCACATATTGACAACAAATATTGAGTCTAATCTAGTGTAGTTTTTTCACTGCTTTTGCTGAAAGTGAATCTTCTCAATCACCCCCTGTAGGTGATGCGTGGTTAGACATCTCACCTCAGGAGCTGGAGAGACTGCTTGAGGAGAGAGGAGGTCGAGGGGTGAGCGATGGCACTCGCAAAACAGCACCTGATGAGGAGGTTCAGGAGGAAGAAGCTGGCTACAGTCTGATAGCTGTAACGCAAGGCATGAAGAACTTCATCAATGCCATGTCCTCTCATGAAGGAGCTGAAATACCCAGGTAATGATATTCCATCTGAATAATTGTCAATACTCCAGTTATTATTGTACCACCATGATAATTTATGTCTTTCTTTTTCACCGATTGTGTTTCAGATCTTGCCTGGCTGAGCCCTTCAGTTTTGATCCAGATGCAGTAACCAGTGCACTAGATGGACTGCTAGGTAAGTTTGATTTTCAGTGATATTAGACCATCTAAATCAATCCCGCTTTTGAAAAATATTTTAGTTAGACATTTTTTTTGTTAAAGCCAGTAAATTTTTTTTAAACTGAACACTGCAATTTTGTTTAGAAATCAAATGTATGCCTATTTTTATGCCCAATTTAATTGCCTGCACCAGTGGTTGACTGATATTGATTTTTTTTTATTGCCGATGCTGATATTTGCTGAAATCCGATGTATATGATATCACAGTTGAAAACAATAATTTGACCAGAAAAAAATAAAAATTAATTTGTAAAATAAACATTTATTCATATAGCAACTTCTTTATTCGGTCTATAATCCTATTATAATATTTTTAACAAATAAAGAAATTATTAAAAATATGAACCAACACTGTATGCGTATTTGCTGAATGCTGACGGTAGTTAAGAAAGTATTAAAACCTTTGCCTTTCTGTTACTAGTACTACTCTTTTTCCTTTGTTTAACAGTTCTGTTTAATATTTTTACTGAGACAGTAAATTAATGAAGGAAGAGAATTTGAGCTCTCCCACTTCTCATTCATTGGCCAAGTGGAAAAACCTTTTTTGCTGATGTCAGTAATTTAAAAAAAATGCTAAATATTAGCCGACGCATCAGTCTTGTGGATATATCGGTCAACTACTAATCTGCACTAACCAAAAAAGCACTAATAATTTGCACTTCATGTTTTACAGGAAGTAAGGATGATGAGTTAGACTCTGACGACTTTGAGGATGATGATGAAGAGGACGACAATGATGTCGACGAGGATGAAGAAGTGCAGAATGGCGAGCCTCGGGAGCAGGCAGGTGCAGAGGCACTGGACAATCTGAGGAAATACATGGATGAAATGGACCAGGAACTGCAAAGCACAAATATTGGCAGAAGTTTTACACAGAATAACAGAGTGAGTCTCCACAGATGTTGTTTATCATGTGCATGTAACCTTTTAAAAACTTTGTATCGGATTTATTTATTCTTCCCTTTCCTTATAGACCAGTAATACAGCAGATGCATCTGAAAGCTCATTGGCCGACGCAGGGTCAGAGCTTGTTGAGGAAGAAATCCAGCCTCTTGATGTGGATCTCAACCTGGTTTCAAATTTACTGGAGTCTCTCGCTTCTCAGGCAGGCCTTGCTGGGCCTGCATCTAACCTACTGCAGAGTCTTGGAATCCACATCCCACCTGATGCAGATCAGTCCTGATATGTCAAACTGAAGTGGGAAAAATCAGCTCACAGACTTATCACGCACTCAGCATTCCTTCACCTAGTGCACATCAGCAGTTCCTCTATCAGATGGCTATATTTATGGTGTTCTGCTCCACACCCAGTACTGAATTGTGAATTATTACATCCCAGCATTGGTGTTTCCTTTAACTCAGAGCACTTCCATAAAAAACCTAACTGGGAATTTCTTCTTTAAGAAATTGTTTATCATGTTGTTCTCAATGCAATATTACATTATCTTTTTGAATAAAAGTATTTTTCTGAGGTGTTTCGTTAATTACGATTACGTAATTTTTTTGGAGATTAATCAAAGCAATAAGTATGCACTACAACAGAAAGTATGAGCTACAGCTATCTATCAGAGAAAAAGAACGGATATTTCACAGTGCTTATCTACGCTGGCATTACTGATAAACTAAACAAACTGCATGCTCGTGTAACATTAACCAAGTCTTTACAGATAAATCAATCATGACTGATTAGGTGCAAAGCCTCAACGCTCTGATGCTGAACTTTTTTAACCTCGTGATTCTCACTCGGACAGACTTTGGCCTTTGCTGATAACTATACAAATAGATAGTAGGATCTTTTGTGATCTGTATCGGTGCGTTATGTACTGCTTCCAACATAAAGAAAAGGTGCTGGAAATGTCATAATTACATTTATACCAAAATATGACAAGAAAAACTGAAACACTTGGGAATTTGGTTTAGTAATGAGAAAGCCTCATCAATGTGTTTTATTTGCGCCAAACATTAACAATAATACTGTAGTTTGTACTGTATATTAGGAGCTAAATAAATACATGAGTCACAGGTTTTCTATTTGAACAAAATATATCACTACTTTAATAATCTTAAGTTGTTGTATTGCAGTTTATAGCTGTGATTTCTACAAACCATGCATTTTAACAGTGAAGGGCTCCTCTGGTCTAAGTTTGTAAGGTGAATGGCATACTTGGGTGAATCTCACAAAGCTTGTCAAGAACATGCTTATATCATATTTCACCCTCAAAAAACATATTTTGCATGAAAAATTACGCTATTTTTAGGGCCTTTAAGGTTTATTATTTTTGCATTTTGGAATTATTTTCATGACAATTAAGCGCATTCTACATTCTCATTACTGTAATGCGTCCGTACAGATACAGTAATTCATATTTTACTGTCTGACGTTTTAATAGACAACCATAACATCATTTTTGCATTGCCGTAATGAGAATTAAGAATTGTGGTGTAGGATATACCCTAAAGGTCCTTAAAAAGGCTTACACTTCTTTATGCAAAATATATAATTTTTTATAGCTGACACATAGAAATAATAATTTAGTCTGTACAAAAAAAGCTGGTCAGAGAAACCTGTATTTTACCTTTATAATTTAATTCCAGAACTTAAGTAGCTGCTCCTTCATGAAAACACCCCATTTGTAGGATGTCTTAGTTATGTCGTAGTTTCAGTGCAAGTGAAGAAAGGAGTCGCACATCAGTGCTTGCTGGTAGTATTACCATATTAATTATAATTATATATAATTATAATATATATATGAGGCTGTCATGCCTATAAATTAAGTTCTAATACTGTTATTATCAATCATGGTATCAGGTATCTGATTGGTTACTCTACATAGACTGTTCCTCTACAGAATGATCTACACTCTGACTGGTCCGTATGTCCTATAGCAGACTGAACAGGGGTAGAACCAGCCCTCTGGTCGCATGCAGCACGGCCGCTGGGAGAGCAGAAAAATACAGCGCCGTTACATCCACAAAGAGAAGCTGCACAGCACCCAGCAGTAACATCCCGAGCATGTATCCCAGAAACAGCAGACTGTGCCAGTTGCCATGAATCAGTGCCTTTGGTCCATCAGGGTGCAAAACACATAGGAACCCTAATAAGAGGGTACGTGTCACTGTCAGAGTGTAGTAAAGGTCAAAGGTCGAGGTATGGCCTCGCTCCGTTTGGGAGACTTTGGCTAGCCAGGCAAGAGAGAGGCTGTGGAGGACAAGGCTGAGGGGAGAGAAGACATACTCTAGCGGATCCATCGCATGAAGTCCTTTACATGCTGAAAAGACAAAAATAATTGCGATTGATGACATAAAAAAATGGCCTATTCCTCTTCACAGATATTTGAAGCAATCATGCACTGAAAATGTATGATGTAGAAACATTTTTTAATTTTAAATTGCTAGTAAATTTCACAGCAGAGTGCATTTTTTAGCACTGTTGGTTCCTTAAGTATTTTTTTGAGACATTTTGAGAGTATTCTTAAAGACCAGACAACTTTTAACAAACATTCTATTAACGATAATGCAGTTAATGTTTGTATAACTTTGAGAGAACCTTGTAAGAACATCAGTCATAGTTCTGAGAACGTTCCCTGTAAGGTGGGTAACAACTTCTGAGCTCACAACAGCTTTTTGTAAAGGTTTACACGTTAACATTTATATGTTATATGTTATCGTTTTTACCCGACTGTTGCAAAGAATGGTAAGTAACACATCAAATTAGGCATTAACAGTGTACCTGTGACGGTGACTGAGGCGAAAGTGAGCACAGTCAGAAGGCAGGAGACATGGATGGAGCCTGGTATACTCAGTGCAAACAGGTGACCCAAGCTCAGACTGACCATTGGGAGGAAGCGGGCGATTAGCGGGTACAGGCCAGAGTGGGAACAGGCTTCAGCCCATATGGCCAGAACACACTGGACGCTCCCACAGACCGCCGGCACAAACAAACGCTCGCCCAGCCTCAGTGAAAAAGGCTTCAGGTGGATCAGACCCACACCGTGCAAAGCTAGCAGTGCCAGGAGATTTAAAAATACCTGATGGGAAGGAAGCAAAAGCAAGAGGAAGTTCAACATGCTTAAAAACACACTGGAGATTAAAACTTGATACACAGTGCCATAAATGCCCAGAGAGTCATATACCACTAGACTTTTCATTGTGTACCTAAGAAAACCACTTTCAGAGGATAATGATGAACATAACAAATGATAACATGACATTTAAGCAGTAACAGCTGAATCACACTATTTTAAACAACATTTGACCATTTTTATGACTATTATACATGCAGTTTTATGACCACCCTTACCAAAATGTAGTATACTTCAAGTTTATTTTATTAAGTATACTTAAGTAAAGTTCAAGTATATTTTTAAGTATACTTTATGTAGTGAGTATACAAATATCAGTGTACTAGTAGTATACTTGTAAGTGTACTATTTCAATACTCTTTGGGACTAAATTGGCCCACTTTCTATACTATATAAAAGTATACTTTAAGTATAACAGTAGTAAACTTTGAGTACACTACTAGTTTACATCTATGTTTTTAGTTTGTACTGCAACTATTCTAAAAGTGAACTTATAGGTACACTGATAGTTTACTAATTAAATACTTGTAGCATTTTTAGTACACTTTGAAGTATAGTCTCAGTAAACTACTAGTTTAGTAGTTTTATACTGCAAGTATACTCGTAAGTTTTCTTTAAGTGAACTTTACATCATACTTTAAGTATACTACTCTGTCCCTATTTAGGTATTAATTTGTCTATATTTTGTTATATAAATATCTGAACATACAAAACATCAAAAGAACAGGGTTATCGGCTTGTAAACAAAAACATTTTATTCTAGCTTCATGCATTCTTTTTTTAAACACTTGAATGTGGGTAAGTTTCATAAATAAAAAATAAACAAATAAACAACATTTTGAACAATACTAATGACCAATTAAACCAATTAGACCAATTAAATAGATTAATTGGATTCAGAACGATAATCAAAACGTAGATATAGTCGATCAACACCCCAAAGCTCATTTTATTCCATAAGGTTACACAGTTTTGATGCTGTTTTATGTCTGATGATCGTGTTAGATTACATGTGGAAGCATCTGTTGTTTCGGTTTCTTCTTCACTTGTGTTTTTTTGGAAATTCTGCACAGAAGATGTGTAATAGCGCCCCCTACCGTATAACAATGAAAACACAGATTCTAGGAACACAAGTATAGCTAAAATATATTTAGACTTTTTCTAAGTATAAGTCAAGTATACTTAAATGCCATTTTAAGTATATTTCTGAGAAGTACACAAAGCCCATACTTTCCTATTTTTTTTGTTTAAAAGAAGTATACTAATAGCACACTTGAATAAACTTCTTTTTCGTAAGGGTTATACTACTCCCTTCCCAGAGTGACTGTGTCGGCGGTGTCTCTTGGAGTGCAGAGATGAGGAGGCTCATATCGGCGCTGGCAGTGGCCGTTCTGGGACATACACTGTCTGATAATGGACAGTAATGGATTGTGGGTAGTGAGGGGGTGGAGCAGCACACAGAAACAGTGACGTGAATCCAATGGCAGCAGCTGCTGGAGTCCAGAGCAAAGCCAAGAGGATTTCTAGAGGTCAAACAGGAGTCACGCAACAGAGTTTGGGATGGGTGTGCAGTGAATTCTGATTGAGCAGTGAGTAGCATATAGATAGACAGTAAAGAAGTACTAACTAGAGCTTGGAATAAAATGACAGATAAACAGCATACAATCTAGCCTGTTCATTTATTGTACTTAGAAAAATTGAGTGCATAAGACACAATCAAAAAGTTTGACATGCTGCTTTCTAGGGCTGCAAGAACTGAAAATGAAAATCATTGACAATGAATGTCATTACTGATTAGTTGCGTCTGCCCACCGTGCATGGAATACTTCTGCCAGTCACGTCAAATTATACCACTGAATGACGCATTTCTATGGACTAAATGAATCTACATTAATAGTGGAAGAAACAGAGTGAGCTGCTTCGGGAAAGGTGCATGATCCAAGCTGCCCAAAACATGCCAATGCTTTATTTTAAACTTCAAGCTAATGCATTAGTGTAACACGGTTCATCCTGTCAGGCGGCGCTTCAAAACGGACTGAGCACAGTAGAGAGGGAGAAAATTAGTATGCAGCGCAAACATATAATTTATTTTTAATATCTGTTATTGGATGTTAAATTTAGGTTTAAAAGTCAACATGTAATTCAAGCATTTTATGATAGTAACTGTAAAGCGATAACAGCGTTGAATATAAATTTAAGACGTTCCTTACATTTACAGAATAAAGAAATGACAGTAACAGGCTAATGTATTCAGAGTGAATGTGTGTGTTCATGCAAAACATTCCTCTCGTCTGTTAACACTGAGTTTGTGTTTTTCTTTAGCTTCATTATTATCTCCATTTTTAGTGATGGGATTTAAACTGTCCTTTGTCTGTTTAAACTCTCCATTTAAACTGTGCT